CTAATGAGGTCATAATAGGTCATGTGAGGACATGCAAGAACAAGTGAGGTCAAAGGTCAATTACCTTTGTTACTAGTAGCGGGGGGGGGGGGGCTAGATAAACGAGTATCGCGCGTGTAACCACCCCCTTATCGTGCTCGCGAAGCTGATGGCGTCTAATTTCACGAACCAACGCACCTCTTCTCAGTTTGTAATAAATGCATCGCCAGGCAGGAGGGGACTATGCACAATGCAGACAACAGCTTCACGATCCAGAGTACCTGTAGATGTACAGTACACTATTTCTGACCACATAAGAACATTGTACTGGTCACATAGACCCTGCTAGCACTTAATTTTTTTCATTTGGATGGTTTATATATTTGACCTAAGTTGACCTCAGATGACCTCAAGGTGACCCTAAAATAGCGTTTTTCTGTGTCTGTAATACTCTTGTCCACAGTTGCATATAATCAAATAAGTGAAAAACACGACGTGAAGAAAAGTACCGTTCTTGCAATCTACCGGCACAGCAATGTGGTACGCTGACCTGATCTGAACTGATCCATGTGGGAGAATAGAAATGGTTAGAATGGACTCCTGACCCTTTTAGCGCTTATTTCCGCGCCCTCGAAATTTGTCTTGAGGTGTAAATATAGGTTTTAACCGCATTTACCGAAACGACCGTTTTTATTTTTCGTGGCCTCTGGTGACCTCACAGTTGACCTAAGGTGGAATATTTTGTGCATTTTTTATTTGGCGAGACCCTCAAAATGGTATCGTTGTGTTTCTAATACGGCGTCTGGAAGTTGGAGATCCCAGGGGGTTCACCAACTCCCCTCCGGCCGGGCGCGGCCGTCTCAAGCCCTGACCGGACGCGGGGACCGGACACCAGGGACACCGGGACCGGGGACCGGACACCCTGGCCGTAAACGCTTGCCGACGACGCAGCAAGGACAGCACGCCCAGCTGGAGCGGGAGTCGCGTCATTGCCGCTGACCTGATCAGCGTTCCCTGGAGGTACCGTGCCGACTCCCGCCATCTGGCGGGCTCAGTGCGGACGGTCCGACAGCCCTGGGTCTTTCGCTCAGCTGTCAGATGCTACGCGCCTCGCGCGGGCCGAGACATCGTCGGCGCGTGGCACGCACGGACGGCGGCATGTGACGCACAATGCACGCACGCCGCACGGACGTGTAACGGGGAGTCTTGTCCAGGCGCGCCGGCGACGCTGCGAGGGCCGCACGGACCCCTCCGCGGAGCGCCCGCGGGTGCCGGCGCCCGTCTGCAGCAGCTCGACCGCCGTGTGCCGGGGCCAGCGTCTGGACTCGCGAGTCTGCACCGGACCCCGCTGGGAGGGCGCCAGGCCAGGCCGTGTTCGCGCTGGTGTCAGTAGCCCGCGGCCACCGGGGCACGGGCCGCGGCGGCGGCGCTGAGGCGCGCCGTGAGCATTCTGAGTCAGTTAACGTGGCGTGTATAGCCGCCCTTGACTGGGCTCCTGGTTTACACGGCTGTCTTTGCTGTTCCGCCCTGCTTGGACGCCATTTCACGGCCAGGGCTGCACTGAAATGAGAAGCTAAGCCTGGCAGCGATGTTTCATTCAGTCAGCTGGGGAGCTGGTCAGCTGGGTGCCGCTGCTGTGTCGATCCCACCGACCACAAAGGCTTCCGAAGTGGCCAAATGCGGACGACTGTTGAGGACTCGAGTACAATTGTTGTTGACGCACATAGGTGAGGAAAATATTGCTGGACTGGCCAAGCGCGTCTTCTCGAACCTTCGGCGGTTTGTTCCGCCCGCGCGCGGCGCCTCCGTGACACCTATTTTTGGTAGATCCCAACCAAGAGATCCACTTGTCTCGGCTGGCGACGCGCGACACCGGCGTGGTGGCACGAGACCTACCTCGCACAGCTTAAACCACCAAAATGACGGAAAATCCACCACGGAAGACATTTTTCGCCCTACGATTACCTATTGCGAACGGGATGAATACTACAGAAGCTTCCAACTCAGTTATCTGACCGACTTCGAGAAGCGCGCCGTTGTCCGGGGCGTGCGCCTGACCCCAGCGTGGGGGTCAGTGTCAGTCAGTCAGCGCCCTCGTGTGGGGGGGGGGGGGGGCGCCAGATCCTAGCGCTCTTGTCTGGTAGACGCACCACTCACCACACGCGGTCCCGCTCCGCGCGTCCGGTCCCCAGTCTGCCAGGCAGGCTCCGCACGCACACGAGGCGGCGTTCGGCCGTAGTCAAGCTGTATTGAAGCGTACAAGTACGCGGCGGGCGGCGGCGGACACGCTACTAAGAAGCCGGCCAGACAGTACACAGCGAGCGAAAGAGAGAGGAGAAAGAGAGGCCGACTATGTACAGCACTACCATGCGGCCGGCCGGCGCGGGTACACAGCCGCGCTCGCCCCACGCGGCGGGCCCGGCTGCGCGTCAGCTGACGTCAGAAGGTCAGCCGGCTGCGGCAGCACCGCGTCATCCAGCGCCGACTCGCCGAGAACGCCGCGCCACGCGCGTCACCGGCGCCGCCCAGTGTCTGCCGCACGTCTCGGCGGCGAGACTGCCTGCCACGCCCTCCGGGCGGCCCGCCGACGGCCGTCGCGCCGTCGCCGGCGGGCTGGAGCCGCGGCACACGGAAACACGCTGGCGCTCGCACCCACACGTCGACAGCAGCGGCCTCTCTAGCCCAGAGCGGCGCCGCGTGCCGCCCGCTCCTCTCCCCATTCAGGCCACCCGCAGCTCCCCGCCCCCCCCCCCCCCCCGCTCCAAGCGTCCCCCGCCGCGGCCGCCGCTCCCCTCCGCCGCGTTTCTTCTCCGCTCTTCACCACCTCATCATCGGCCGGCGCTTCTCCGCCGGTCGGTCGGCCGCGCCGTCTAGCTGGGCGGCGGCGGCGGCGGCGGCCGCCAGCAGGTTGGGCAGACCGGCCTGCGCCAGCAGACTGAGGTCGGCCTGCTGCGGCGGCCGCGCCGGCGGCGGCGGCGGCGGCGGCGCGCCGAACTGCTGCCAGCCGGGGAACAGCGACGGCGGCGGCACCGACGGCGGTCCGACCGGCCGTGGCGGCGGCACCTGCCCACACACAGCGGCTGTCAGTCGGCGACACAGGCGGACGCCCGCGCACACGGGTACACACGGCACGCGGCCCACACATCGGCGCTGTCGGGCAGCGATAACGGCCGACAGAGGGATACAGGCCGACAGAGGGATACAGGCCGACAGAGGGATGCAGGCCGTCGGAGACAGAGGGACAGGCCGACAGAGGGACACAGCCCGACAGAGGGATACAGGCCGACAGAGGGATACAGGCCGACAGAGGGATACAGGCCGACAGAGGGATACAGGCCGACAGAAGGATGCAGGCCGTCGGAGACAGAGGGACAGGCCGACAGAGGGACACAGCCCGACAGAGGGATACAGGCCGACAGAGGGATACAGGCCGACAGAGGGATACAGGCCGACAGAGGGATACAGGCCGACAGAGGGACACAGCCCGACAGAGGTATACAGGCCGACAGAGGGATACAGGCCGACAGAGGGATACAGGCCGACAGAGGGATACAGGCCGACAGAGGGACACAGCCCGACAGAGGGATACAGGCCGACAGAGGGATACAGGCCGACAGAGGGATACAGGCCGACAGAGGGATACAGGCCGACAGAGGGATACAGCCCGACAGAGGGACACAGCCCGACAGAGAGACACAGGCCGACAGAGGTATACAGGCCGACTGAGGGGTACAGGCCGACTGAGGGATACAGGCCGACTGAGGGGTACAGGCCGACAGGGGGATGCAGGCCGACAGAGGGATACGGCCCGACAGAGACACAGCCCGACAGAGGGCTACGGGCCGATAGAGGGGTACAGGCCGACTGAGGGATGCAGGCCGACAGAGGGATGCAGCCCGACAGAGGGATACAGCCCGACAGAGGGATACAGCCCGACAGAGGGATACGGGCCGACTGAGGGATACAGGCCGACTGAGGGCGTCAGCAGGCCGGCGGGTGACCAGCTGGGGGAGTCCCCCGCGAGCCGACGGCGGCGGGAGCGCGGGCGCTGGCCACTCACCGGTCCCGGCGGCGGCGCCGACAGCGGCGGCGGCCCCTGCTGGGGCCAGGGCGCGCGCCAGCCCTGGCCGGCCGGCGGTGGAGGCGGCGGCGGCGGCGGCGGTGGCGGCCCCGCCGGCTGCGAGCCCACCGGCGGCGGCGGCGCCTGTCGTCACACACGCGCCGGCCGACGGTCAGCACGCGGCAGACGGACGAACATGCGCCCGACAGTCGTCAGCCACATTATGCACACGTGTTGAGCGTGCGGTAAGCTTGCGGAAGGCCGTGCACAGTCACGCACTTCCGCATAATCCACACCAGCACTGAACGCGGGTCACAGACGCGTTCGCATGATGTGGACACCGGGTGTGGGCGTTTAACGGCAGTCTCAGTGACTGCCGTCCAAAAGTCTCAGTGCCGGTGGGAGTCGGCGAATTATGGTCACGTCATGCATCAAACCATCGCATGGCAGGTAACTGCAAATGAAGTGAGGTAACTCCACAGGACCAAAGCGCCTCTTCGAGCGATGGCATTGCGTTGGGCTACTCGTATGAGACCCGTCGTCAAGAGAACGACGGACAACTGAAGCATAATGATGTCTCTCATTACTGATAGTCCTAACAGCCACGTTCATTCTTCGCTGCCCATTTTGAAAACAAATCAAGTTGGATCTTAATTACATAAAAACCAAAATCTTCCGTAACAAACTTCGCCGCATGGCGGCGACGAAAATATTCAAAAAATCCTCACAACTGCCCCCATCTGTTCACTGGAGAATGCGCCATAAACCAAATTTGTGAAACAAAGTTTCTGAGATTTTGAGTGTCGAAGGTTCACAAAATTTCCACAAAATTTCACAGCAAAATATACCACAAAATATACCACAAAATTTCACAGCGTTCGTCTGAGAGAACCACAGTCGCAGGACGCCCCCCACCAGCGACGTCTCCCGGACGGCCACCCACGCGAGGTATGCACCGACATCACCCCAGCCGGACCTGCGTCGGCCTCTCGGCCGTCAGCCCAGCCGCGGCAGAGTCGGCCCTGACCTGGAACAGCGGCTGGGCGGGCGGCGCGCTGGAGAAGGCCGGTCCGGACGGTGGCGGTCCCTGGCGGGGCGCCGGCGGCGGCGGGCCCGGCGGCGCGCCCGAGCCGCCCCAGCCCGGCGGCGGCTGGCGGCGGGAGGCGGCGCACGTCAGACGGAGGGCGCCGCGCCGCGCCGCGCCGCGCCACAGCGGCCGCGCCGCGGGCGGGCGGCACACGTCATCGGTTTCAGGCGCTGCAGGTCGGCTCCACGGCCGCGGCCACACAAATCCCATAACCGAACACCGGGGACAGCAGACGCCGCGGGACGCGCGTCCGCACAGCACAGCTAACAGAGGCGTCACGTCACCAGCAACGCCGCACACGCTGCCGTACACGTTCCAAACTGTGCGATCTGGCCGAGGCGGTCCGACCAGCCCTGACAAGTCCATCCACAATCTGACGCCCTGGTAAGGCCGGCCGAGACCCCGACCACCGACACTTCAGACGCCTTGCGCCGGCCGTCGACACAGCCCACCCCCACCGACGCAGCAGCGGCGTCGAACGCACCTGTCTGGTGACGCCGCCGCCGGCGCCGGCGTTCGCCTGCGCCGTCATCGACGGCGGCGGCCCGGCCAGCGGGCCGGCCAGCAGCGGCCGGATGGTGGACGTGGTGGAGCCGGAGCCGGAGCCGGAGCCGCCCGAGCCCCAGCGGGCGGCGCGCGCGCCGTCGCCGCCGCCCAGCGCGCTCGTGTTGCTGCCGCTGCCGGCCGGGGAGAGCGCGGTCAGCACGTGGCGCCGACAGGCTCCTATCGCGACAGACCACGCCATTGGGCGCGTAGCGGCCGCGCGCCCAATGCGGCCCACCTTCGGCAACGGCGGTGATGAAACGACGGCGTCAAGCCCACTGCACTCTGTGTGTGTCATTGGGGCTTTACGACGCACTCAGCTGCTGAGGCTATATGGCGTCGCCTGCCTCTCACCCTGGCAGGAAGGGCGGGCACCGCGGGGAATCAAACCCCGTACCTCTGGTTTCCCAGACGCGCAGTAGCCAACGCAGACGCGCTAACCGCTACACTACTGGCACCCTCGCCCACTGTACTCTGCACGCTCTACCCCCCCCCCCCCCCCCCATAATCCTCCCCCATCATGCGGTGCCGCCTCAGCACACGTACACACCGCACACGCGCGCGCACGACGGCGCGCACCCGACGAGCGCCGCGACGCCGCCGCGCCGGGCGCCGGTACTCACGTGAGCGGCCCCATCAGCGGCCGCGGCGGCTCGCGGCGGTCGAAGGCCGTGCGCCCGCTGTAGCGGCTCAGGTCTGGCGGCAGACGGCGCCCGGTCAAACGCGACGGCCACCCGCACACACCCGCCACCGCTCTGGTGACCGACTGGCGGTAATATCCTCAGCTTAGCTTAGCTTAGCTTCACTTAGCATCACTTAGCCTCACTTAGCTTAGCTTAGCTTCACTTAGCTTAGCTTAGCTTCACTTAGCTTAGCTTAGCTTGACTTGACCGTAACTCAGGCTAGCTTGGCTTGGCTTTGACCTAGGTTAGCTCAGCTGTAGTGGGGCACATCAACAGCCGCGGCCTGCCGATGTGCCTCCCTACAGCTCGGCTTTGGCGACTGCGCCACTGACTGGGCTGTATCAACAGCTGCGGTCATCTCGCGCCGCCGAACGTGTTTTTGTCAGACAGGGTGGCCTGGATGATCCAGCGCTCCACCCCTTTAAACAAGGAAAACATGAGGCGCGCTACAAGCAGGGATGACTGAATCAAAAGTCACAACAGGTCGTCGTCAGCACATCCCGCCGGACGTTCCGAATCCGCTCGTCCCTGACACGCGCACATGAGCGGACCACCGCGCGACCAGGATGCTATGTGGATGTGGATGTGGATGTGGATGAAAGGTGGATGTGGATGTGGATGTGGATGTGGATGTGGATGTGGACGTGGACGCGGAAGTGGATGAGGATGTCGATGCCATACCGGCACGTGGGTACGTCCCCAGCGCATCTCGAGGCGCCCGTGCCGCTAAAGCGGCCCACTCTGCACCGCCAGGCGGCTGCCGCGCCGACGCAGGGCGCGCCAGAGACGACCCAGCCCCAGAGCGGCATCACCGCGGCGAGGCGCGGCGAGGCGCGGCGCGGCGCGTCACGTACTGCCGCCGCCGTAGCCGGACGAGCCGCCGGTGCCGGAGCGGTTGTTGTCGTCCTTCCTGGGCGGCGGTCCCTCGCCCAGCTCCGCCATCAGCGACATGTACTGCGGCAGCGGCCGGGTCCGGCGTCAGCGGGCGCGCGGCCACGCGACCAGCGGGACACCCCGCACACACACATACACACACCACCGCCAGCCGGACGCGCTCACGAGAGAGGCGCACGCCTCGGTGACGGACAGAGACGGCACGAACCCTCCCTGGGCCTCCTGTCCTCCCCTCCCTTCCCTCCCCCTCCCCCCACCCTCTTCCCCGCCCGTGACGGCGGCAGGCGCGCCGTCACGGGCCGCGACAACTCCGGGCGGCCCAGCCCCGCCGGCCGTGCTGGTCCACAGCCGGCAACGGGGCAGCGCCCGCGAGAAACGGCTTGCTTGACACCCGACCCGCGCGGCTGGCGGGGCCAGTCGGGCCGCGGCGCTCGCGCGGAGGGCTTCCCTTCGACAGCTTCTTTCCTTCGTGAGCTTCAGCCCCACGTCGCGCCCGACGCCGCGACCCGGCTCGGCTCACCTCCTCGTCGATCTTGGCGCGGTCGCCGCCGACGGCGTCGCCGGCCGGGCCGTCCCGACCGCGCTCCGAGGATCCGCCACCGCCGCCGCCGCCGCGCCGCTGCCGGCAGTCCCTGGCGATGTGGCCGGCGCCGCCGCAGCTATTGCAGATGACGTTGTTCGTGACGTTCGGCTTGTCCGGGCACTGCGGGACAGGGGGAGAGGGGCGTCAGCCGAGCGGCCGCACCAGGCGCGGGCCGATGCACGCACGCACGCACGCACGCACGCACGTACGCACGCACACCCGCAAACACATCCACGCACGCACAGGAGTCCGTTGTGTGGACGAAACGTCGATGACGACGGCGACTCAGGCATCAGGCTGATCGACACTCACGCTGACACAAAACAAAGACCGCCTGTCGGGAAAACAAGCACAACCGCCACGAAACCGTCCGGAGCCTCGGCGCCTGCCGCTCTCACGTCGCCGCCCATCCAAGTGCCGGCCTCCCAAAACAGCGGCCATCACCACCACCGCTGCTGCTGCCGCCGCCGCGCGCGCGCGCGATCTCTCTCACCTGCCACGACTTGTGGTTGGTGGCGCCGCAGTTGCTGCAGCGCGGCCCCTCCTGCTCGCGCAGCGTGCCGTTGAGCAGCGCCAGCTCGCGCAGCTGGTTGCGCCGCAGGTCGTTCTGGTCCTCGGGCACCTCGACGCCCTGGCGGATGATCTCCTTGATGCGGTCGACGGCGCGCTTCACGCACTCCGGGTTGATGGATGAGATGATGGCGTGCAGCGGCTCGTCCTCACCGGGCATGGGCAGGCCGTCGCGCCGGCCCACCTTGCCCTCCTTCACCGAGCCCTTGCCGCGGATCACGATCTTGGCGCCCGACTCCTTCTCCAGCGCTGGCGGCGCGGGCGCGGCGACGGCGCGGTCACGCAGTGCTGGGCGCCTTCACAACTGCGCCGTCCAAAAGCGGCGAAGTGGATATCGAAATGCACAATATTTTTAGTGTATTATATCTATCCATTTCGTGCATTTTGCACATTTATAGTGCATTTTAGATTTGGTGCACCTGATATTTTTAGGACCGCAGGATTTAAGCCTGTGCTAAATCACTAACTCAACTCTTTCCAATAATCGTGGGTGTGATGACGTTTTGTTTCGCCTGTGAACGGAACAACTGCGGTATTCTTCGTGGGCGCGTGTCACCCGCGGCACCATTCGTTTCACGTCAGCGCACGTGTACCCTCGCCCTCCCCGGACGTCTTGACTACTCACGCCTCACATAACCAGCCCCGCCTACCTTGAGCGTGCCACACGCCTCGAGCAGACCGATTCTGTCAACAGCCCTGAGCTAATCAGCACCCGCCCGGCAGACCTCTGCGTCACAGCGGCCGTGCCGCGGGCGCGCGGCACTATTTGGGCCCGGCCGCGCAGGTCGCGGCCGCCGGCGGCGCCGGGCCGCGTCCACTCACACTTGAGGGTGTTGCCGCGCGGCCCGATCAGCAGGCCGATGAAGTTGATCTCCGGATGCTCCTCCTGCGGGATGACGATCTTGTCCGTGACGCGCGTGGTCGGCGGCCTGCGGAGCGAGCGGAGGCGGCGCCGGGTCAGTCTCGGCGCCCCCACCGGCACCGCGCGGCGGCTGGCTCAGGCGGCGTCCGAGGGCGGGGACGCCGCCCTCCGCCAGACGGCGGCGGCGTCTGGCTGGCGCTGGTGGGGCTCTGAGGAGCGTCAGCGGCGGCGGGCGGACCGCACAGAGCGGTTCAGGGAGCGACACCAGCCGCGACATCCGCGCCACCCTCGCCCGCCGGCGGTAAGGGTCTCATCGGCGAACGGCCGGCGCCGCCTGAAGGGCAGCTCGACCTGACCAGCGGAGAGCGTCACAAAACGGAGCAGCTGTTGCAGTTTGCGGCATGACCTCGCTCAACACACGCTCCGAATCTACACCACCGCATAATACCGAGCACGCAGCCGTGGCTTGTGCCGAAGCCGAACCACGCCTGTCACACAGACGACACCAATGGCCCCGGCTCCGTGCAACGTCCCGAAAAGAGCGGCCCGAGCTCCGCGCTGCGACCGGAGACGCGAAAGTAGCCGTAGCCGTAGCCACGGCCGTAGCACAGCCGTAGCCGCAGCCACAGCCGTAGCCACAGCCGCAGCCGTATCCGCATACGCATCCGCATCTGCAGCCGCAGCCGCAGCCGCAGCCGCAGCCGCAGCCGTAGCCACGGTCGAAGCCGTAGCCGTAGCCACGGCTGTAGCCGCAGCTGTAGCCGCAGCTGTAGCCGCAGCTGTAGCCGCAGCCGCAGCCGCAGCCGCGCCAACGCCGCTCACTTGTAGTCGAGCGGCGGCTTGTAGTCCGGGTTCAGCTCGAACATCTTCTGGATCAGCTTGTGACGGTCATCCTCGAGACGGCGGCGCGTGCGGTAGTCGCGCGTGTTCAGCCGCTTGCCGTCGCTGCTGTAGATCGGCTCTGGCGACGGCGACCTGCGGCGAGCGGGCGGCGGGTCAGGCGGCGGCCGCGCACGCGCCGTACGCGCGTGCGGGTCGGCGCTGACGCCGGCCGGCGCCCAGCACCGGACGGACCGGACAGCACCGGATGCCTGGCTGTGGTCGGACGACGGGCCGACGTCGGTGGAGGCGTCGCGGGCGGCGGCGCACACAGGGGGCGGGAGGGGACGGCGGGGGCAGACAGAAGACCAGCCGCGGCATCAGTCGGTCGGCGTCCGTCCAAAGCACTCGCAGCGCCGGTCCGCGGTGTCGGTGCGGCGTCGCGACGTCGGACAGGCGTTCAGACAACGTCCAGACAACATTCGCTGTCCGGACACCAGCCAACACGGCGGACCACGCGACACCGGCAGTCACGGGTCACGAGCGCGGTCCGTGGTCGGCTCAGTCCACGGTCGCCGTCACCAGCGGCAGTCTGACACAGGCCCACGTCAGCGCACAGTGCACGGTCAGGAGCGGGCCCCCAGAGCGCCGGGCAGGATCGGCACTCGCTGACAGGGTGACAGGGTGGCAGGAGCGTGTGCCGTCGGACGGCGTCGGACAGTTTCCAGCGACCAGACAGGCGCACACGGACCGACGCCAGACGGCCGGCGCGGCAAGGCCCGGCTCGCCTCGGGGCTCCCCAGACCACCCGACAACGGACCGACGGGAGGGGGGGGGGGGGGAGCAGGGACAGCACAGATCACGGGCGTCACGGAGCGCGCGCCGCAGCTCGGCGGCTAGGGCGAGCACCGGCGCCGGCGGCGCAGGTCCGCTACACAAACACCGTGGCGTCGCTCCGCGTCACACGGAGGTGCCGAGGTTACGGGCGGTGCCGCCCCTGGCGGACGGCGGGCCGCCACAGTGCCTCGGGCGCCGACAGCGCTGGCTCCCCCTAAGAACGAGTGAGGGCACATCGACGAGAGGCCGGCCTGCGCTGACGCGTGGGAAGGCACGGTCGCACAGATGCACACGGCGCCCGAGTCAAGAGACGTCAGGAAGCAGCTAACCCCGCAGCAACCCAGTTTCACGTTTCCCCTCTAATCTAGGACGGCGGGCATCCGATACAGCGGGCATCCGATACGGCTTGACAAATCTATCCTCCGCTGGAAAATCGGGACTTCCATGCGACGCCACCTCACGGCGGCCTTTTACAGATCGAGACGAACCTGGAGAGTCCCGCCTCTGTGAATGTGGAAGACCTACGAGCACCATTTCGTTCACCTGGGACTGCATGCGACTCCTAGGAGTGGGTGTTGGGGGACTGGCACCCGTTGATACGCCGGGACTGAAAACGCTTCCTGGCATCAGCATAGTTCCTGGGATAGTACAAGTCTGCTGAGCTATGGGCTGGCGGCTCCGACTTCTACCGAAAGCTGAAGTCGCCGGCGCTAAAAACGGGACCGGGGCGAAGTGAGCTTTGGCGCCTTCCGACGGTCCTTGCCACTGAAAGATCGTTCTGGAGAATAAAAAAAACACGGCGGTGGCACGCAGCCCGGCCGTCTCCACACGAGCACAGCTCGCACGCACGGAGGCCGCTGAACAAGTCAGCCATAACACAGACGCCACACAGCAGCAGCCCGCGGATGATACCTCCCGAGACGGGTTACTGTCGAGTACAACCCCCTCCCCTCTCCCACCCCCCACCCCTACCCAGGCTCGAACGTACGACCCAAGGAATGCGAGGAAAATCATACCCAGCACGCCCAAACATGCTGTATATGGCCCCACACGCCGCGACTGGCCGACGCTCTGCAGCTCATCACATGCTTGGAAAGCCGACCGCACTACGCCGCTCGATCCTTCCGAATGGCCATTCGGAAGGATCGATCCAGATGGATATGGCCATTCGGAAGGATATCAATGGCCAGATGGAGATAAGATCTTAGCTCCATCCACAGTCAGTCCACGACCGGGCGCAGCTCCAAAGAGAACCTACGAGATCCTGTTAGCTTCAGAGCTTCTGGGACGGCCGGAGCGCGTGGCGGGGCTGGCCAACGGGGCGGGGCGGCCTCGGGCACCTGAGAAAGACCCACGGGCCACGCCCCCACATGGCAGCTACGCTGCTCTCGTGCCGATGAAGGCATTAGATGCACTGAAATGGCATTTGTGCAGGGTCAAGCAGCGTCAGCAGTTTCAACCACAGATGCCACTTTGAGAGCGCTTTCAACAAGGCCAGATACAAAAACGCTACGGAATTTTCAATCGACAGGAATTGGCATCCTTCGCCGCGCATCTTTATCAGCTAAGCGCTGGTGGCGGCTGCAGATCCGGGGCTGGGGTTTCTGGCAAACGACGGACACATCTTCACAGAGGCGGTGCGGTGCGGTGCGCAAACGTCCGCCGAGACTCGGCGGCGCGCTGCTGGCACTACAGCGACACCGGACGCAGAGTGCTGTGGGGACCACGGCAGCGGCGCTGCCCCACCTGTGCTGGACTGGGCTGAACGGGACTGTGATCTCCTCTATTTCGTATTTTCAGCCTTGTGGGGGGGGGGGGGGGGGGGCTCGCGCCAAGGCAGCACGGCCTCCGAGAGGGCGCCGACAATGAGCCACCACACGGTAGCGGAGAACGGTAGGCTCTGCTGTCCTGAGGATCCACTTTCGAAGAAAAAATCTCGCCTCGCGCGCCTTCACTGCAAACGGTCCAAACAGCCGTGCGTGAGCATCCAACTTTCCGGCAGACATGTCTTGGAGGACGCCTATGCATGGCCCCCAAACGCCCGCAACCTAGCACACTAAAATGCGAATGTGGCGTAACAAAAAGAAGGCGGGATACCGAACATCGATCTACTAGCTGTGCCTTCGAAAATCACATGAGCTCGCTAAGATCACTAGAATCTCACTAATACCTTGGTCTCGTTTTCAGAAATTGAACGTGCCTTCATCCCAATGTCACATCATTCAATGGACTCAAACCAACCCACACAAGAAGCGACAGACCGTCCGCACTGGCCGACGGAAGGAAGCTCCCTCGCCTGACCGTCGGCAGCCAGCCAGACTCCTGCCAGACTTCAGACCGCTGACTCGACTCCTGCCAGACTGCAGAGTACTGATGGTCAGACTCTTGTCCCATACTCTACACGCCCCGCAGACGGGTCGCGCAGTCACGTGGGGGTTCGACCTTTGGCCCCTGGTTGGGCCAGGCCTGAGGCGCATGTCGCCCCCGGCCGGGTCCAGCCCAGACAGACTCCGGCCGAGCCCAGCCCAGACAGACTCCGGCCGGATCCAGCCCGGACAGACTCCGGCCGAGCCCAGCCCAGACAGACTCCGGCCGGACCCAGCCCAGACAGACTCCGGCCGGGTCCAGCCCAGACTCCGGCCGGGCCCAGCCCAGACAGACTCCGGCCGGGTCCAGCCTAGACAGACTCCGGCCGGGCCCAGCCCAGACAGACTCCGGCTGGGTCCAGCCCAGCCACAGGACCCGGACACCGTGCAACGCCCACCGGGCCAACAGGCGGACCCGGTCACGTCCGACCACGTGACAGGGCGCCGGGTGCGACCACCGCGCCGCTGCCGCCACTGCCGCCACTGCCACCGGGCACCCAGACTCCGCCGATCCATCGACTCGCTCGGCCAGCTGCCGCCGCGGCCGCCGGACCGCGGCCGCCTCACGCCCCGGCAGGGGGAGCGGACGCCGCGGCCCACCGAAACCCAGTCGCTCTCGCTTGCCTGGCGCACAGCTCAACTGCTGCACCGCCGGCACGGCACCAGAGCGGCGCCGTCGGCCGGGAGCGACGGCAGCTGCGCAGCTGGACAGGCGCCGCTGGCTGCCTCAGACCTCTGGCCCAGACCCTGAATACGGAACTCGCGTCGTTTGCTGCCGCCCTGGACTGTGATTGGTTGTTTAACAAGGAGGCAGTCAATCACTATTGGCTAGGCGGGTGTGGCGACTGTTGTGATGGATCAGTGATTATTTCGACCGCGATCTGAGCGTTTGTGGCTGAGGCAATTCCAGTCAGCAGTTGCCCTAAACGGCACCCGCCTCCTAAATCAGTGTCCGTAATCACCGCCTTGCGACCGCTCCCAGCTTTACTTGAAGCACGGCAAGGGAAAATACGCCACCCTCAGACCATCAGACACGAAGGGTCAACGGAGGTTAACCACACCTTCTGTGGAGCGCAGTCCTGCACCACAAACCACAAAAACGTCACACATTCACTCGGCTGCCAACGAGACCGGCCGTGTGCCGCCGAACTCCGGCAGCAGCGGTTGCTGGGGATTTCTGCCGCTCCGGCCGCCGCCATGCCGAGGGTGTCGGGCGAGCGGCGGGCGCGGGCCCGACACTAGGCTCGCCGCAGAGCACGCGGGCCTGGCACTAGGCTCGCCGCAGCGGACGCGCCGCTGGGAGAGGCCGCCGCCGTCAGCTGCTGCCGGTGCGCGGGCGCGCGCCGCCGTGACGTCCCAGCGTCGAGCTGACCACCGCCGGGCTCCGGCGTCCGGCCGGGTTGGCCGCGCTCAGCGCGGAGACTCCGATCTCCGCCTATCCGATGTCGTGGGGACGGCGCGCAGGCAGCTCTAGAACGCCCTGAAACTGTCGCCTGCCGGCCGCCGCTCACCGACGCCGCACTCTCTCCCTCTGAGCGCCACGCGCCACCGGACGGCACGCGTCTGGTCCTAACACCGCCTGCCCCTGCAACGTGACGGTCATGCTGCATCCCCTGCAACGGGAGATCAGTCTGCGCCTGCCGCCCCTGGATGTCTGATCGCCGAGGTCACTTCACCGCCCGTCCGCCCCATACGGTTAGAGGGATCGGGCACCAGAAAACGCGATTTTGAGGTTGTCGAACGTGAGAAGGCAGGCAATGTCCTGGGTCATCCCCAAATCACGTAACGGAGAAGGGACGTAACGTCCGAAGGAGGGAAGAACTTTGGGACGAGCCGTTCTAGCAAATTGCGGATGAGGGGGGGGGGGGGGGGAGGGACGGCGGAAGGTGGTGGAGGAAGTGTCGTTCGTGACATATTAAACCGACGAAACGCTCAATTATTTCGCTATCGTGAGCGATCATGTTGCCCTCCAGCCATTCGTTTCAATATCCACGCATACTTCCCACACAATACCCACGCAGACATCTCATAAGATCTCCACGTAGATTTCCCACACAATACCCACGCAGACTTATAAAATATCCACGTAGGCTTCCCATACAATACCCACGCAGACTTCTCATAAAATATCCACGCAGACCTCCCATACATGCTCGGAGCACGACGCTTTAATGTCTACGGATGGCGTGCTTCGTGCGATTTTGATGCATTACGGCGCACCATTGCCCCTTTCATAAGAATGGCTCTCGAAAAGACGATTTTTAGCTGCGGTAAGGTAGCCATTGCACAAACATCGTCCTGGATGAAGCAGATGGATTAAGCTTGGTCGAAGCTGCACAAAAACTCCTTAACAGACCACGGCGTTCGCAGTAAGAGCCCTCTCTCATTAAAGTGCTGCCTCGTTTTTGCCTCCTGGGTAAAAAGCCTACTTCGAGGAACAGTGTTTGTTATCTTCGGTTAGGTAGCCATCGCACTACTACCGCTCTGGATTACGCGGAGGGCTTAGTAGAAGCTCCACAAAAATTCAACAGACCACGGTGTGAGCAGCAAACGCCTCCTCCTCTAAAAATACAGTCACACAACGTTCAACGCAAGGCCCCGCCTGGCCTGGCCTGGCGGGGACTGGCCTGGCCTGGCAGGGCCTGGCGGGGACTGGCCTGGCCTGGCCTGGCCTGGCGGGGACTGGCCTGGCCTGGCAGGGCCTGGAAGGGCCTGGGAGACTGCCAAATCAGATCACCTATTGTTATTTCTCCTCACCCCCGCTGGAGGGTGGGGGAACACCCCTCACCCCCTCTGGAGTCATGCACGAAGATCTTCGGAAAGTGTTTTCTTCTCGCAAAAAAGTGACGTGCTGATACATCCAAACCCGACAAGCAGCTGCGACATTTGGGAAGGGACTGTCCTGGCCCATGGCAGGCCTTGCTGAGATGGGGGAGGGGGGGGGGGGGGGCGTCGGCCCAGCATCACAGTGTGTCGCACAGGGAGGAGACACGGGAATTCGAAAATGCGGCACCTGTTATAATAAGCATGCATGCTGTGCGCTCCGCTCCTGGGTCACTCAGCACATTATAACACGTTAAGAGCAACCTCGTTACCCTGCGATCACTCTGCAAAGCCAGGGCTGGACACGACATGGTCAGGGGACGAACAATACGACAATCTGATCACGGCGGCGTTCCAGCCCAAAAAGGTAAAGGTTGGTGCTAGGCTTGAACCCACGCCTGAAGAGATCCTCCCAATTCTAGACGCGACGCCATTTGACAGCCCTCCCGGTAGGCCCAATCCTTTTAATGACGCGTGCGCAGAGACTTCTGACTACACCCACGGTTCGAAACGTCGCGTGTTGCCAGCATCACCCATGTGTGTTTAATAACGTCGTTTGACCGGTATCTCCTGGTACACTCGGGACGGTCAGTGAGCATAAGAACTCTGAAACTTATCAAGTCGAAAAACCAGGAGTTGAACCCCTGCCTCGCTCCCATCACTCCATAGTCTGTCGCTGTCGCCGGCTCCGTCCTGCCCGATATCTCGCAGCGGACGGCATCCTGGCCCACCGCACAGCCAAGGTCCGGGCAGCGGGGGGAGGGGGACGGGGGGGGGGGGCCTGGGCCTGGGCCCAGCCCGGCCGGGGAATGTGGCGACCGAAGGCGGGCAGGCGGTGGGCGAGATCGGTGTGGCCCGGCCCCAGCGCCGGAGCGGGCCTGACGGGCGCGCGGTGTCTCTGAGAGCCGGCGCCCGCGCAGACACGGAACACGTACAGGAACACAGCGTCACACAGCAACACGGAACACGGTCAAGACACATCAGCACGACAAACGTGGGCGCGACACTTTCAAAGTCGGCGGCATCAACCAACGCGACACTTTGGAAAGCGGCTAGATGGGCCACTGCAAATAGCGATGAAAAATTACTGTATGCTTACGCCCGCGTCCCACAATGCGACACTGTAAACGGGCCAGAGCACTGTAATGGTGAACAATGGCAATACGATTACAGCTAGAGCAAACGCAGCCCGTGCATCTTAGCTTGAAGGGCCTAACCGTCACGCCCCCGCCCCAGCAGCATCCCCCACATCCACCTGCGGGGCAGAACAGCGCAGCCCCGCCCAGAGCCCAGTGGTGCGCGGCCGGCGCCAGCGCGCCGGGCCACCAGCGGCCGCAGCTCCGGCGCCATACTTTACTGGTGCGGTACCGCGCCCGGCGGCGCCCGGCCGGCCGGGCGGCGCAGCCCCGAGCCGAGCCGGGGCCGGCGTCAGCCGACAGCCGACGGGCAGCGCTGACGGCCGGCGGCCGCCGACAGGCGGCGCCACCAGCGTTACCTCTGGTCGGGGTTAGACGGGATGCCCAGGTCACCGGAGCGCAGGCGGCGGCTATAGTCCTCTATTTGAAGCTGAACTGGAAGGGCACGTTAGGCGGGCAGAGCCCGACCGACCGTTAGACTGGGCGAGCGACGCCCGCGGTGACACGATATGACACCATGTGACACGATATGACACCATGTGACACGATATAACATCATGTGACACGATGACACCACGTGACACGATATGACACCATGTGACACGATATGACACGACACGACACGGCGGCGGCGACACACGAGCGGCGGTGCACACACGCGGCGGGCGTGCAGGGCAGCGAGCGGGCCGACGCCGGCGGAGCAACGCTGGCTGAAAACGCTACCCATAACCGATAGAGCCCTGGAAACTGCGACGCTCACAGAGTGGTAACGGGCGGAGCGGCACTGACGACGAGACGCCGGGCGGTGCTGGCGGCGCGGCGCGTGCCCTCGGCCGGCGCTGAGCTGCCGGCCGGCCGGGCAGCACGCCGGCGCGCGTGCCGACACGCACAGGCGCCAGACTAACCGGGGCATCAACACATCGCAAGACTATCCACCACCACGACACGCCTCCCGTGAGAGATCAAGAGCGCGATGAGCGCCCGGAGAGGTCACATCAGGTCAGGTCAGGTCGGGTCCGGCCAGCAGGCGCCGAGGCGAGTAGGCCACAGCCGGCGCCGACGCCGCGACCAGTCCGGCGAGCCACCGGCACCACGTGCTCGCTGCTGCCCCTTCCCGCGGCGGCTACAGACCTGCCTGCCTGCCGGCGGCCGGCGGCCGGAGCCCAGCCCGCGCGCGTCCGCCCCTCCCCCGTCGCGCCACTCACTCAGATAGGCCTCCTCCTGGTCCTTGTTGAGGTTGGTCGGCAGGATGGTCGGCATGCCCGGGATGAACGTCTTGTCGTTCTCGTCGCCGCCCCAGCGCGACCGGCGCTTGCGGCTACGCCCGTCGCCGCCGCCCGAGCCGCCGTCTGCCGCCGCGGAGACGGAGAGGGAGGGAGACGGTCAGAGGTCAGAGGTCAGAGGCGGTCACTAACCGCCCGCTCCGCGTTCTGTCACAGCTGGCGGCCGGCCGGAACTGGGCGCATCTCAGGGCGCATCTCCCTGCCAGGCGCTGTGTCCATACAGGGCTGGGAGACGGAAGCACGAATCGGACCTTTCACGCCAGACTGCTCCGGTCGCCAGAGGCGCGGCCTATCCACTCATCCCCTCCAGTGTCATCGTCAGCCCCGTGCCATGCCGTGTGTCCGTGTCCGTGCCCGTGCCCGTGCCCGTGTCCGTGTCCGCGCCTGTGCCCGCGCCGGTGTCCGCGCCCGTGTCCGTGTCCGCGCCTGTGCCGGTGTCCGCGCCCGTGTCCGTGTCCGCGCCTGTGCCCGTGCCGGTGTCCGCGCCCGTGTCCGTGTCCGTGTCCGTGCCCGGTCCAGTCGCCGCCGCCGCCGCCGCTCACCGGACGAGCCGTAGTCCTTGCGCTTCCTGTCGCGCGACTCGCGGCCCGAGTCGGAGCCCCTGTCGGAGCTGGTGCGGTCGAAGCCGCCCGAGCCGGGCCCGGCCGTGATGGCCGGCGGGTCGGGCAGGCCCGACAGGTAGTTGGGCTTCAGCAGCGAGCTGCCCGTCGGCTTGCGCCCGCTGCCCAAGATCGGGTTGATCTTGGTCAGGCGCACCGTGTTGGCTCCCGAGCCGGCCATGCCCGCCTGCGAAGCGGGGTCAACGGGGTCAGCAAGGTCAGCCGGGCGGTCGCGGGTCAGCGGGGTCAGGGGATCAGAAAGCTGAAGTCAGGGGAGGGATCAATGACGCAACAAATTAGGCGAGGGGTTATGGGGGCAGCACAGGGTTCGCTGTGTAGGGCGAGAGGCCAGAGGAGCCAAAGGTCAATAAAGGAGGAATGACCAGCACATTACAGTTCAGAGGAGGGGTCAAAGGCCAGCTGATGGCACAAGGGTCGTAGACAGCCACTGCAATCGCACGACACATAAAGCTGTGGTCGGTACTGTCCGAAATTTCAAAATAACTCCGCGGCGAGAAACGATCAAAGTCACATTTAGGATCTGATGGCATTTAGGACTTTGCCTACGAAAACCAACAATCTAACGGACAGTGCAAGGCTGGAAATCGGGCCATTTCTAAGGACTGAGTTTGATGCCGCCAAAATGCCCGGCATTTTCATTTCGCACGAGCATCTAAAACAAGCATCCGTGAAAACAGGCATGCACACCAACGCGTGTCAATGCCAGTGCTTGGCGGCGGCGCCCCGGGCGGCTCAGCCCCCCCCCCCCCCTCCCCCTCCCCAGCTGTAGGGGCGCGGGGTACCGCAACAGCCCGGGCCAGGCGCCCGGCACAGGGGGCCAGCCACCGGCCGTCGGCGGCGCCGGGCCGGGCCGGCCTCAGCACCAGCCCACGCGCCCGCCGATGCCAGCCGTGCCCGACCCCGAGCCGCGCCAGGCGCTGACGACCCTCGGCTGCCTGTCCCAGTCTGCCGTGAGCTCCGGCGGCAAGGCCACAGCCATAGCAGGCCATAGCCATAGCAGGCCATAGCCATAGCAGCCATGGCCATAAACAGCTTTGAAGTACGAGCGCGTGGAATGACCAGCTGCCTTCGCCTAGTGATGTGCGGCTGCAGCGCCGCCCTTGAACGACCAGTGTCCAAACAAGTAAGCACCGGATCGACCTCCTGACACATGTGGCGCACACCCGACGCCGCGGCCAAACACGGCCATATAGTCACCATGTCTGGTGTTGGCTTGCTACGGCCTCGGGTTGAGGCAGCGGAGATTGCAGATACTCGCACTAGACGGAGAGAGGACGCCGGTCAGGTGGCTCGTGGGAGCAGCAGGCCCACCCGCTGCCCCAACAGTGTCTGGGGCGCCTGCACTTTTGAATACACAACCTCGGGTGGGTACAGGCAAGGGAGGTCATTGCCTTGACCCGGACTCGCCCTTGCTGGCCAACCCAGTCGCTGTGTGAGTGTCGCTGATGCGGTGTGAGGTGCACAGGTGTCAACTCAACATGCTATGTCACCAAGCTGAATTGCATGTGGCCTGCAGACTCCTCACACTTAACAATGGGAGTGTAACAGAGACCGAGTCCAACTGCTTATTTGTTCAACGTGTCATGGTCACAATTATGGATCACAATACAGATTATGAAGAGGTCGCAATAAATGAATTTCCTCCAGCGGAACAGCAGACCCAACAATGGTATGTCCCCAAAGTCACCATCGGAGTCATGTGAGGGCAAAGCAATCCTTTAGTTGCTTCCAAAGCAGACCCAGGGAAGAAATCAGTTTGCAGCAGAGCTGGGTCCCCTCACAACTCATATTCTTTACATCACACAATTATTCTCCCAACCACCAAATCTCCACCCAAGGTCCACAGCCACTCATCCCCTCCCCTCCCCAGAGACTCAACTCTGTCATCCAGACTTTACCAGCACTGTGACTTTACCAGCACTGTAGGGCCAATCTCCGGCTCTCCATCCTCTCTGCAGAGGACCATGAAAGTGATAGATGTCAAAAATGCTTGAGGATAGCAGGTAGGCATGTTATGTAGACCCCTCCAGTCATGGTATTGGTGAATGAAGTAGTTCTTAAGGGATATGCATCATAATCATATTAACACAATGCAATCATAGCAATGAACAAGTGTCAGACTGGCAAGTTTCTGTCCTCACTACTCGTGGGACTACAAAGTAAAAGGCCAATAAAGTAATACTTCATACATAAATGCATATAGAATACATGAATAATAGGATAATATAACAATAAAGGATGCAACATAATGCATAAATAATACAATACTATAATATATGAACAATAAATACATGTCTATGAAACCTTATAAATAATTAGTGGCTTAATAGGAGATTGTGTGCTTAAATAAATTGAGATTATTATTGGCATTGAAATGGGAGGAAAACATAACAATTAATCACAAGCTAAGGCTATCAAGTGTTTTTTCATTAGCTGGTCAGGCATCAACTAAAACACCTACGTGGAAGCACCACCACACTTTAAGCCTTGCACCACCACCCTAAAAGACCTGTCTGTATAATCCCCACATCCTGATCAGTCAACCTATAATTTATGTGAAGCTGGCAACCTGTGATAAAACTGAAGAGAACAATATTTATTTTTGATAGGACATCTTATCAGGTACATATCCAGGCTAATCCAGCACATCATTACTAATATAGGTTCCTATGACAAATGCATGTTGTGAAAAATGAGGATGCAATTTACTGCAAAGAATTTTGACTGACTTTTGGTATAAAAATACATAATGAGGGCAAACTGAGGCAACAGCAACCAGAACTAGGAAAAAATGTATACTCCTTCCTGCATAAACCTGGTACAATCTCACGTTGGCAATCACATCAACAGCAATTGAAAACTGCAAAAGACAGAGCTAATTGTTGATTGATAGATAAATAAACAAGCATGCAGCAGGGCTCCTCACACAGTTGAAACCCAAGAACAAGTCATGAAATTGTTAGGTACAGCTGCTGGCAGTGCTAGGGCAGCAAACATTCAGTATAATCACAAGAAAATGTATAGCCCAAAAGCTACACTGGCTGTATCAGGTCAATGATGCCATTTGCTATCTCTTGAACACATCTTCATTCAAACTCACTTATTATCATTGCTAGCATTACAAGTGCTGTGCATGACTCCTGTGACAACAACCAGCTAGCTGTATGGTGAGTGTGCAAATATTGTTTGTTGCGTTCATTATGCAATGTCCACAGGAAAGAGCATCATATGCTGGCCAAAAAAATGCACCAGTCACAACCACATTACAGGCAATGATCTACACAAATTTAACTTGTGTGCATCTAGCTCAATCATGGTTGAGCATTCATCTCACTCAGCTGCCATGGTGCGGGGCAGTCACGAAACCCTCATCCACTCCTATTGCGATTAGTCACGTTTGTTACGACAAAAAGCATCAAGAAAAATCCTGATCTAAAAAACTGCGTGATTCAAATAAACAACGCGGGCCAAATAAAATAACTAGACTCGCAGCCGCTCCAACGCGCGAACCATGCATTAACCACGGCATTAGTGGCGCAAGCTCCCCTCTTCAATATTCATCAGAAACTTCACCAGACCCATGCACACAGATCTTTAGAAGGTTTTTCACACCGCAATTGTGAAACGCAACGTATTCTCATACCTGAAGGGGATGGAGGTATATGAAAGCTACCAGTTGAAGCGTCACCGGCACCCGCGGACGCCGCACATGAACGTGACGAAACAATCCAATGCGGCGTGCGCGGCGCCCAAACAGAAAAGTAGACGCACCTGATTACAACGTAAGTCAATAGCAATCTGGAGATATTTTAAGGCGAGAGATTTGTCCGAAGATTTGTGTAAGCGGGAAGCAAAACTGTGGGGAAAAACGCAAAATCTCTCCAGATTATCGCAATTGTTCTCGAGATTCCCGCTATTTTCAAAATACAGAATGCCTCCAGATTATCAACACAAACTCGCTATAACGCCATTTTATTGTCTATTGTCCCATACATACGAAGGCTGTTCAGAGCTGCGCGGGAACGTCAGTAGCGTGCGCGAGCATTCGTGGCGGACGTGGGCGGTGCGCTGGATGCGCGTTGGCATTCGAAGTTGATGCAACAATATATGACTGAACCAATATACCTTTACGACTTTGATTGAGTCCATTGGGCTCGTCTTAGCTGCTTTGGTTGCGAGGTCTGCCAGGGAGGTGCGTGCTCTGCCGTTGCGGTGAGATTCTGGTTCCTTGGAATTTGTTGAGGTTGACGTGTGGCGCCGGGAGGCCTCATATGCAAAACAAACATGTTTGGGGCTATATACTTTTGCAGTCTTGGGAGCAGCAGAACAGTGAAATTTCTGGAGACCAATTCTCAAAAATGTCGTGAAATGAGTTTTGCCCCGGAATTGGCCACTTTCCTTCTTAAAATTTATTGGTCAGACCCCCCCCCCCCCCCAACCGAATATGAAACTGCCCAGGCTTATATGTGTCAGTACTAAGGCGTTTCTGGTGCTCAAGAATCATAGATTCATGAGGGTTGTAAAAGAATGTCATGCTACGGTCAAGCAGAAAAGGGCGTTGTGGTGAATCGGAAGCCTTTCTTGGTCCAGTCGTCTGTCACAGACTTAAACGCCAGGAGTCCCTTGCAGATCTCAGTGCCCGACGATCATGCCAGGGCTCGTGGAGTCATCCGTCATCGGCTTAAGCGACCTCTGGTGCCGGCCGTGCAGGGCCCAGGTGGCCGCCGATCTCGCCGAGTCCTCGGCCAAGGACGGCCACGATGGCGGTGAGAGATAGCGTAGATGCTCGGTGGCGGCCCCAGATGGAGACGCCACCACCGGTCACGGCGCCGCTCGAGCAGGCGGCGGCCTGCACCGGCTCTGGCCGGACCCACGGCGGCGCCGCTCGAGCAGGCGGCGTCCTGCACCGGCTCCGGCCGGACCCACGGCGGCGCCGCTCGCTGCCGGCTTCTTAGCCAGCCCCCCCCCCCCCCCCCGGCGCTGTTTTTTCGGGTCTTGCCTGGCCTTCAGCCGTGCTGACCTGGTCGCTGACCTGACCCGGTTACGAACTTGACCTGGTCGCCTGGTCGACAACCATGCCTCGTAAGGCCGGAGTTTGCTTGGTGTCCCGACGTTAAGCACAGCTGCCGGGCGGAGCAGACTGTCAACTGGCCCATTCAGGGAGATTCATCCGGGAACGACGGAGAAAGCTGGGCAGAACGGAGCGCGGCTGACACGGTACCAGGGCGCGACCAGCATGATGGCAGAACGCAACTGACACGATGACGGAGCGCGGCTGACATGACGCCATCAGCCGACCCAGTCATCCCATACTGGTATGTCGGTATGCCACTCCCCGCGCCCAGGCAACGGGCTGGGACAGGAGGCTCGTAGACCTGTCTGTGCGGAAGTTGCACTCCTGCTCATTGCAAGCGTGAGTCACACTTGGAATGATTTTGCACATTTAGAATCGGCCTTGAAGGTCACTTGATATTGCAAAATCAATAGCATTTTCGATGTTCTTGTGCCCTAATTGGTCAAACGTCGTGTTTTCAGAAATCGGCACTAGTCACCACTGACCTGTGGGTCAATGTCACTAACCAAATCGCTGAATAAATCGCCAATTTCATGGACATATTTTGTCGCGACTAATACATTTCATTTACGTAAACAAACAAAAAAGGGAACTGGGGGAGGAAGGTATTTGATGTCATAGGATATTGAATTAGCTGCGGGAGGGGCTGAGTACGCGCGTGTACCTCAGTCTTTGTGTGTCATTGAATACACAATATTGCCCAAATTATGGGCAGATCCTCATTGTTGCTTAGGGGGGATCATTTGCCGTCCTGGAGCACTTCAGTTTCGTAGGGCCAGTGTTGGATTGTCGCTCAGGCTCGTGGATTGGAGATGAATAAGTCTGGAATGAACGGTTGAGACTCACAAATTACAACATTAATAACTAGGTCTGTATTATATTTTTAGTTTAGCCTTTGAATGGAAAGATAGGTGACTAGAGCTGGTATTAAGGGCACTGAGCTTTACCACATTGTATGTCAGGACCATGTACTTTCAGATGCAGATTGCAGCTTTCTTGCATAATTCAACAGTTCTTGAGTAGTACTGTGTAACAAGTTTTGAAATATTTTAATGTGATGTCTGAGAGGATATTTCTATAGATACAGAACAGCTGGATTTTTCTATTTTTACATTGATAAGTACTCTATACCCATCAGCAGATCCTGGGGGGACATGGAGCCATGCCCCCCTGCAAAAAAACCTCTGAGAGTATGTTTTGTCCCCTGAAACATTCTAAGCACTTCATAAAAGTTTTGTCTGCTTACTGTCTGTTTTAACTTTAACTGGTTTAACTGTTCTGTTTTAACTTCTGTTTAAGATCCCAATGCATTTTGGTGCTTTTTTCAGTTTTGAATGTTGTCCCTACCAGATACTCACAAGAGGCACCATGCACTGGACCTCGGATCCCACACCAGCCAGCTGGTGATGAACAGTTGCCCCCCCAAAAAAACTCCAGGCTAGATCCGCTCCTGTCTGCACCTAATCAGATGGTGTAAAGGCCAAGGTTGGCAGAAGTCTTCTGGAGGCTGTAATCACCAGCCTGATAGCAAGTGTAAGGGGTTAAGCTAATTGACTGTTCATGAAGTATGCTCATTAACAATGCGCTTCACTTGTTAAGAGTGCCTGCAAAATGTGGTCATACATCACTTAGAAAATGCCTAACTCATTGTTGGTTTCATATTGAACATGAAGTAAGACACATTAGACATAAATTTTTAGCTGTTAAGTTAATTGGTGCTGCCTGTTTGCATTTCAACTAGTGACAGAAAATAGTATAGGCTGATAAACACTGGAAACAAAAAGGCATGGACTGTTTTCACAGTGGTCTACCTTAAATAAAAAACGCAGTATAATTCAGGTTTTTGACATTACTATCTTCAGGAATTTCATTCAACCCATGGCTGCTGCCCTGGAACAGTGGATATGCCACATTGCTGTGTCCCTGAAGTAAACCACTATGCCACTGTGTTCCATCTGCACATGACTGCCCCAGTGTGTATGGTGTGGGCTGTCAGCAGCAGACACATTGCATACCTTTGTGTTATTTATCAGATAACAGGAGCAATGGAGAAGCTGAAAACTTTAATGAGTGCATTCATTTTCTTCAAGATGCGAAAAAAGTGGCCAAATGCATAAAAAATAGCAATTCTGGGTGCCTTTGGTAGATCAGTCTCAGACAGGGTTTCAGCAACTGATTTTGTGAAAGCATACTACTGCAGTACTACCACATAAGCATACTACAACATACTATTTACAGTAGGATATGGTGTCTATTTCTGCAAAAGTTGAAATAATATTTCCATCTATCCAGGTGGCAGAGCACAGTGTTTCAAAAGCATGGCCTATTTCAAATGCCTATGAAAAGTTATGCTTTACCCAATGTCTTCTTTTAAGACTATGCATCTAGTTGCAATAAGCGCAAACAAAACCATGCATTAAAAGATAAGATAGCATCGAGCAATGGACATCAGAGAGCTTGAGCTTGTTCTGTATCCAGTCATGTATAAATTACCTCATCGATTCAACATCACCCCGTGATGAAGCGCGTCACTAGCGCGCGCGGCTGGGCACGCCTCTGCGGCCGCCGAAGGGGGGGGGGGGGCTGACGGGGGCCGCCGCTGTCAGCGGTCGCCGGACGCCGGACGCCGGTCTTCTGGTACCGATGAGGGCGTGTGGTCATCATACTGGTGGCAGCGGGTGGTGGTGTGTCAAGTGAAGTCGAGCGAGGAATCGGCGTGGGATGATGGGAAGAGCTGGAAGACTTCTTGCGACGGTTGGATACCTATCGGATGACGGCGGGGCTGGGAGGAAAGCGTAGCGGAAAGCGCTTCTTGGCCTTGGTTCGCGGATTGCGGTGATGGACGCGCTGTCAGAAGAGGCCACTAAGGGTGTCCGGAGGCGGAAGTCGGCGCTGCGTCGGGAGTTCGTTCCTTCCGAGGGTTAGTGTCGGGACCAGTTCAGTCATCGACGTGAGCGATCTTCCGGGACATACGGCATGTCTCCCCCCGGTTTGCTACGTTTCGTGCTGCGTTTTCTGGCTCGGAGCCTGACACGTCTGTCGGAGCCGCTCTCTTGGGAAGTCTGCTTTTGGGTGGCATTTTGTCGGATGTGCGGCACAGTTAGGTCTGTTGTACCCCAGCATCGACGTTGAGAACATGCCGATACATGCAAAACAAATTGAGGAGGCTGTCCATCGTTCGCCGGCTTAGGCCAGTCACGTTGTGGAGGGGTCTGCCGTAGGGAAGGGAGCGCTAGATCATATCTCCGTGCCGACGTAGCCGAGCTCTCTCGTGCCGTGTTCGAGATCGGCGCGGCGGCCGCGCCAGCCGGCCGGCCGGCGGGTGCCGTCGCCGGGGGCGGCGTGACGTCATCAGGAGCCGGGCGGGTCAGCCAATGGTCGGCTCAGCGGGGCGGGGGGACCGTCACGCGACCCGGCCAAGGTCAGCTGGGCGAGCGGCCCACAGGAGCGCGCCCAGGGGGAGGGCGGCGGTGCGGCCGGGCCGGGCTGACCGGCGCCCGGGCCGGGCCGGACTGGTTTCCGGGGCCGGCAAATGCGACGCTGGACGTGTGGTTTTCCGGCCACCGGCAGGTGGCGTGTTCTCAGGCTCCGTTGGGTCGCGGTCGGGGGCGGCCGTCCCCCGTGGTCCGCTGGCGTCGGCGTGGGCTTGG